TCCCTTTAACTACGTATGTATGCTAACTGTTTTAAATTCCGTGTGGTGATTATCGTAAGTCCCGATGTTCGATTTGCTTGAGGACAAGCAAAAGCTTAAGTGTGGGGGAGTCTGATAAGTCCGTATTTGGACACGCATTTGATGCGTGTCCAGGTCGGATTTTGATGATTTTCTCGGCTTTAAGGCGTTACAAGTCTCAAATTTGGCTCAAGTTGTGTTTAGCAGGCGTTGGATCGAGTTTCGTTGCATTTGGAGTTGATTTGAAGAAGTTAGAGTCCGGCAATCGGCGCTAAAGAGACAATCGGGAGGAGATAGAGAGCATTCAAGGAAGAATTGAAAGATTTGGAGGTCACCAGGTGATTCACGGCGAAATTTTGATGAAGAAAGAGCATTGGGATCGACCTCGTTTGAATCCGGGCACGTTTGGAGCAAGAAAACGAGAAAACGGAGCGAAAAAGTCAGACGCACGGTCGTGCGTCTGGGACGCACGATCGTGCGTCCATTACTAAACAACGATGAGGCCCCTGCCTGCTACGCACGATCGTGCGTAGGCAGGGACGCACGATCGTGCGTAGCCCCGTGACACGCGCGGAAATTTCCTATTTCGGCCCAAATTCGGTTTTTTCCCCTTTTTTCTATAAATAAGGCCTCCCTAACCCTTTTTGGGGGTTACGAACATTACGGAGAGGCCTAGGGACGAACTTAACACCGTTTTTACGCTATTTTCTTCCAAGACCCTGGGATTATTTGTAAGTTCATCTTTTTAATTAATGACAATTATTTCTATTCATCTCAATTCTGTTGATTCTTCAATTATGAATTGTGAGTAGTTTAATTAGGGATTTGGGGTTGATGAAGGGGTTAATCATGATTGATGGCTAGATTCTTGTTGGTTTAATTGCATGAATGCCGTTTAATTTGTGTATGAATAATTTAACTGATATCTCTTGTAACCTAGATGGCCACTAGAATTACAATTGCTTATAGAATAAATTAAGAGAGATCTAATTTGTTCTAGGACACATTCACACACACTTAATCGTTTGCTAAGAGATTAGTAGCGATTAAGGAGCCGTAAGCTCGCTCGTCTTGGCAATAATTTAGGATCTTGTCGCATGAGAGATCAGCCTGGTCCCCTAAAATATTGTACTCTACGCCGCGAGAGCGGTAAGAATTTAGTAATGATTAGCTAGGCTCAATTAAATTAAATTCATGTAAATTAGGCCTGATCTGCCAGAAATCTGGTTACCCCGGAATCAATCCCTGTTCCCTTCGTCGTTAATTGAGAAGAAACCACTTTTATTTTAATCGTTCATCTTCATTAGTTTAATATTAATTCACCAATCAATCTCGCACACTTGCATTTATTTATTTTATTTCTTTTTAATCGCTGAATTTAGTTAATCTTTAATTCCCTTTTGTCCGTCCCTGTGGAGACGATACTCGTACTTTCAACCACTATTCTACAATCTTTTTAAGTGCGAGAAAACACTCATCAGGCTCTAATGGCTATATGGAGTAGTTCTTTTCTAATTGTTTTATTTATATTTATATTAATTTACAAGATTAATTTTTTTTGCTTGGTATTTACAAGATTAGTTAATAAATAAATTAATTGAAAGGAGTAAAATTAACGGTTGCTACTTGCTAGTGCTCTCAAATTGCTTTACCATGAAGTCAAGGGGTCAATTGCCCTCCTAGAAGGGCATTCACATCCATAGATTATTTTTTTTGCTCATTTTGATGATGTGGAGGATTTTTTGGGGATCATGGATGTGGAGTTAGAGATTATTTGATAAAATAACCTGGTATCAAATTATAAAGCTGGATTATTTCCAACTTCTAGGTATATACTCATAATTATGGTGATGACTAGCTTTGTAGTTCGTGCATGTTCATGCTCCTATCCAAGCAGTGGTGGACTGAACCGGGCCGGTTCGGGCCTCGGGCCTAGGCCCGGCCGGGCCTCGGTTCAGTAATAGCAGGCCCGAGCCCGAACCGGGGTAGGGCGGTCCCGGGTCCGGTTCCGGGCCGGACCGGGCCGGGCCGGTTCGGGCCACCCGGTTTATTTTTTTTTTTTTCCCTTTCTTCCCACCCCCCACCCCCCAAACCCCCCCAAACCGGCCTAAACAGATAGCCCAAGCCCAATAGCCCAAAAAAAATGAAAAAAATTAAAAAAAAATAGATTTGGCCCGGACCCGGGCCCGAACCGGCCGGGCCGGGCTGTCAAACCCATGAACCGAGCCCGGAACCGCCCCACCCCCGGGCCTTCGGCCCGAACCGGACCCGGACCCGGACCCGGAAAACCGGGCCGGGCCGGGCGGCCCGAACCGAGGCCATGCCTATATCCAAGGTAAATTAAGATCATGCATGAGGAGAAATTTATTGATTTGGAGATTATTTGAGATTATCTCATGTGGAGGTGACATGACAACAATAGACCATGAAAAATCGTAAAGTTAAAGATCATCAATGTGGATGCTCTAAGGGATTTTAAAGATATTTTCCCCAAAAAAGACTTCAAGGGCATAGATCAACTTTGGTGACAACTTCAGGGCTTTTTGCCCCTTTTCCCTTTTACCAATTCAGGACTCGAAAGATAAATTCATTATCAATTCAGGATCAAAAGATGAAATGTATCAGTATAGGTTACCGAATAATGGAAAACTATTAATTTAGGACTTAACATTTCATAGGTTTTGATTTGTTTAATTGTTTTATTAATTCCATTACTAATTTTTGGTAAACTTTTCTTCACAAAAGTTTATTAGTTTAATAAAATTAAATAACATTTAAAAATTTTAAAATAAAAAATAAAATAAAATTTATGACAACTTAGGTCCTAGATTGATATTTTTCAATCATTCAGGTTTTAAATTGATAATTTTTCATCATTCAGATCGTATATTGATGCATTTCATCTTTCAGATCCCAAATTGATAATTCATCAATCTTTTTGTGTCCTGAATTGATAAAATTCCTAAATTTTAAGAGATTATTATGAGATGTAAAAAAATTAGATGCACATGGAGAAAACGTGTAAACTCTATTGTGTCAAAATTAGTGGGAAGTGCTTACAATACAGTCAAACTTAGCCTTAATTAATCCCCACTTGCTCTAGCAAAGTAGCAGCATATACTCCGTATAAGTAGCAACTATAAGACGGAAGTACATACTAGAAATTACACACTTAATTACACACTTTTTCATAATTCTTCATACTAGAAATTTTTGTCTTTAAAATTAGGCCACAAAAGTATTAGTCGGAAAAAATTACTTCGTATTTACTTACAATAAATGTCTAACTGAGATAATTTTTTTTGAGATGCAGTAAAAAAAATGTAAACTTTTTGTGCACATTTTCATATTCTACAAGTTATTGTCTCCAAAGTTAGGTGACAAAAATGTCAGATGAAAAAAAAAGGAATAATGAACAATAATAATACCAACTATGAGAGACCTGTTTGAAATAATCCAAAATATCAATTATGTCAAAATAATCCCAACTATTGAAAAATCTTCTCAAATCACTCCACATACTCATAAAAATTACTCCCTTCGTCCCGTAATTAAGTTCACAGTTTGACTTCACACAGATTAAGAAAATAAATTTAATTTTACTATAGAGTGCACTGTTTTGCACTGTTTAAACACTGTTTGACACTTTTTGATGTAGATTATTTGCCAAATAAGGAAAATTTTGAAGTGTGAAGTTAATTTTGGGACTGCCCGAAAAGGAAAGTGAGAAGTTAATTTTGGGACGGAGGGAGTATAAGTTATTTTTGGATAATTATAAGTCACCGGAGTATTTTGAGATTTTTTTTTAATAGTTTGAGTTATTTTGAGATAATTGATACTTTGAATTATTTCAAGTATATCACTTATAGCTCGGACTATTCGTGTCCATGTTTTCAAAAAAAAATCAATTTGCAAACAATAATTGGCACGCATAGACAAAATGACTCAGACAATGTTAAAATATGTACAATTTTTGTGAAAGAAATTTATTATTTGTAATATTTGATTATTTTCGACCATTTTGAAGGATTATTGGTGTGTAGATTTTGGAGATGTGTACAAAAGAAGAAAATTGTAAGAAAAAAATGTGTCAGAAACCTAATTTTTTGTTTGTGCCAGATGTTTATTGTCTATAAAGTAAAATTTTGTGACCAATATTTTTTATTTCTCAACTAATTTTAGAGACAAAAGTTGCTGCTCCAAAGAAATGTTTGACTACGCCACACACATTTATTATTATCTATAATAAAATTGTATATTTTTGATAATTTTTTTTCTGTGGCCTAATTTTAAAGACACAAATTATCAGTGTAAAAGATTTTGATGCAATTCGTTAATCATATCTGAAATTATATATTTAACCATGTTAAAGTCGTGAAAAAATAATTGTATCAGTTTAATTTTAAAAGCAATACCATAATATAAACAAACAGTGAGACAAATTAGTGACATTTACTTTCAATATGAATTGTAATTGAAGGACTAAAAATGGGATTCCACCTATTTGTGTATGACAACTTTTCTTGCGTGTGATTGAGTTTTCTTCTCAAAGACTTCACGTGTTTATATATTTGCGTGAATGATTGCCAAGTTTTATACCGAAACCTGAACCCAGCATTGGTTTTCTATTGGGTAAAATTAAACAATCAAGCAAGAGCCTGTAGTAGACTAGTAGTACAGAGTATAGCATTCATTCCTTTTTACTTCATTTTGTTTCACAAAAAGAATTCGAATGATTTTATGTTTTAACCATCAAGAATCCAAAGGCCAAGAATAAAAATACAGCTCCAATTAAACACAATGATCCAACCAGTTATATGTCGCTGATGAATGAAACCCCACGTCTCAATCATAAGTTTTTACTTAGTAATTCAGCATCAATCCGTATAAATCTCAATGAGCGCACAGACTTGGAGATAAACGATTAGTATGAGACAACAATTTACTAGAGCATAATCCTACTAGGGCCAAATCATTGTTGTCTAAGTTGCTTGAACCTTTTGCCAAAGGAAAGAGTTATATGATCATTAGAAAATTTGATTATTTCTAACAATAATGAAGATGACAGAATCAAATAAATGAAGTGAGCTTATATAAAGGGTTATATAGGACACCAATGTACAAAAAAGATACCCAGAGCAAGAAATAAAATACTTTGAATAAAGTTCTTGGGAATTGGGATAATGGAAATACTGGATAAATATAACTCAACTTCCAATGCTTTCATTTAACAACTTGAAGCTCTCCCTGGGATTTAAGGGACATTATCTTGATGTTGGTGCTAGGGCTTTTCCTTCTGCAAGTAGGGGCCTAAGCCAATTGTAAGAGCAGATGATGGTGATGTAAGAGCAGCCTTCAGTAAGCTCAGAGCCTGTTAGCACAGTTCAAAAAAAATTGTGAATGAGTCAAACATGGATCATGTGCACAGATAATTGTATTGCCATTTTATCTTAATGACAGACTTATTTATTTTTTCCATCATTTGCAATGGAGCTAAAGATTCATTATTTTTTGGCTTGAGAATATGATGGAATAAAGCAAAATGGATCACTAAACTGTTTGCGCTTCTTTGTTATGAAGCAGCAGTCAGTCCATGCAATTTGGGACGCGATTTTCACTATGGGTCATCCGGAAACAGTCTCTCTGTACTTTAGTACATACGTAAGACTGCGTACATCCGACCCTCCTTACCCCACCGTAGTTGGGAGCCTTTGCGGCACTGGGGTAAATGAAAATGAAATGAAATAGACTTATTTATCATAAGAAATGAGTAAAGGTGGCTATTTCAATGTCAAACCGTGCTTAAATACTCACTTCCTTCATACCAACAGTGACCCATTGCACCTCGGTCTGGTTGAAGGACATTTGCAATCCATTTAGCAAGAGGTAACTGGAAGAAACAGAGAGAGGCTTCACTTCAAAATCATCGTGAACCAAGAAAACTGATGGTTCCACAGCAAAACTATCGCTGTCCCTTGGGTTTATGAGATACCTATCTAAAGGTTCGGTACGGAAAGATTTGATAAGCTGCTTCTTGCAGTTATGATCTTGCGCAATACGAAGGTCAAGTAAGCCACTCTTATTTGAGGAACGAAACCACTTCTGATCCAACTCCACCATACTCTTGTACAAGTTATCCATACATTTTAGCCCTGATTGTCCTTTCAAAACATGTACCATTAATCCAATAGGAGTGGTCAGAAAGCTGCACAGGAAATCAAAGAACTCGTCCGTTGCTTCGCAAAACAATATCTTGTTTGTAGACTTGACACACCTCAATTTAAGATTCAGGCTAGGACCATTCTGCTCAGCAGTCTCATGTGGGGCATCAGCTGATAATGAAACAGTAGTCCCGAGTTTAGACGCCTTCATTTGGGTTCCCAAGGTTCCAAATGCAGGATCTTTAACAAGAAAGACGTCACTTATAGGGGACTCCGAAATCAGTGATCGAGCAAGCAGACAGATTAGCTGCCAACAGATAAAACTCAAACATTTATTAAAGCCACTCAAATAGCACACTTGACATCCCACTTGCAAGCTATTTCAACTCAAAAAATGCTGCTCACTTAGTCTAACACAAAGAGAAGCATTTTACTATGACACTAATGACAGTAACTAATGTTTCACTAAACAATGATGACAATATCAAATATTTTCAAAACTTTGACCAAATGTTCTATATTTGAAATGTATGATGTACCCCATACCCTTGAACAAAAATGAAGGATAATTTAGGGTGGACCTAAATAATGAGTAAATAATTTAGAGATAGATGCAACAAGACAGTTAAAGTACAACCGCATGTAAAAAGGTTTCAAAATAAAATAATTTAAACTGTCAATACATTTAGATAAATACTTGAAAATATTTAAATAAGATGTTTGAGATACAATATACTTTAATTAAGATATGTTCACTTCAAAATGTTCCAATCCATGACAATGCAAGCCCAGATTAGCGATACATAACAGCATATACTCCGTCTAACATAACTGACTATGTAATTAAAAAAAACACATTAGAACACAGGTAACAGAATAAGTAACTAACTAAGAAGATACTACCTCCGTCCTGTCTTAAGATTCCCTTTGCAAAATGACACGATTATTTAGATAGTAATTAAAAAATAAAATTCGAGTATATTTTGAAACATAGTTTTGATGGGTATATATTATAAGTTTTTAATGAAATAATTGATGACCACGGTGATGTTCTAAATGTATTATTTTAATATTTGAAAACCTTTACACATATAATATTTGAGAACCTGAGTTTTTTTTCAAAAATATTACTTAAATGAAACCTATTTATCATAATATGCTACAGAGTATAATATAGTCTCATAATAATCACGTAAAAATTCAAACATATTACTAAAGTGAAACCATTTTACAAAAATATGACTAATAATTATATGGTATGTCTCATAATTACTCAAGTCTAAAAATTGAGCATAAATTGGTATGACTAAGTTACCACTATAGATATTACATTAAGAGATCACATCTTCATTTAATTTACTTATATCTACATACTCCGTATATTTCAAATTTAAAAGGACTTTTTTACAATGAATTCAATTATTCAAACTACCAATGTCTGAATAAAAGACAAGTGGGGTACCTCAGCCTTGGAAACTTCAACACACACCTCCCTGAGTCTGCTCGAATGGTTTGAACTTGTGTCGGGTATGAGTTGAGCAAGAAATTCAGGAGAGGCAGGCCTGACCTGTAAATCGTCAGTGATTAAGAAAGCTATTCCTCCCTTCAAAAAGGCTCCTTCATGACCTGATGCATTCGAAACAACGGACTTCTCTTTTGTGATCATCCCCATGCTACATTTGCAGGTAACTTTTTTGTAAATGCTATGATATGGTTTGCACCAGACACAGCCATAAGTGAATTCGGACCCAGAATCGTCAATATTAATCTTCAAATTCTTGCAGTACGGAGCAAGGGGATTTCTGGGATTGAGAACCATGTTCTTGCAGTGTTCTGTCTGCCAGTACTCGCTACTTAGGTTTTGAACGCTTTCGTATATGTTGTTCATACACCCTATTTTTACTGCAGTTTCAGTTTTCTCCTCCGCAGAGCTTGATATTGATCAGGATTCAGCTCATAAATGGAGAAGAGTAAATCGAGATCAATATGTGTACATAGTAAGATAGAGTAAGAGAGAAAGGAGATGGAAGGAACTTTATTCAAGAATCAATCAGAATGAATGTTTTTGCGTAGCAGACTTATTGATATAGCTATACATGTAACAAACTAACTAACTATTAGTTAACCGTACAATTGTGTTAACCGATAAGCTGGTTTATTTAGCTATACTATATCATATCTCCCTCCATTGGAAAAGACTTGTCCTCAAGTCTTTATGCTTCTTCAGACACCTTGGCCATAAATTCAGGGAATTCTTTCAACAAATGATCATAAAATTCCCAGGTTGCGTCTGCTACTGAACATCCTTCCCATTGAATTAGATACTGCACTGCTGCTGCATTCTGTCTCTTCACTATCCTCTTGTCCAACACCTCTTCTGGTTTAATATCCCTTTCCATGGTATTCCCTTGCATCCATAGAGGTATATGACACAAAGCAGGTAGTTTCCCTCTGAATATCTTCAACTGAGAAACATGGAAAATATTATGGATTTTAGCACTGTCAGGCAATTTGAGCTTATAGGCAACTTTTCCAATAGTATCTTCTATTTGGAATGGTCCATAATATTTAGGAGCAAGCTTTTGATTAACTCTCTGCTGTACAGAATGCTGTCTGTATGCTTGTAATTTCAGCCACACCCATTCCCCAATTGCAAAAGATCTCTCAGATCTTCTTTTGTCAGCTTGCATTTTCATCCTTTGTTGAGCCTTGAGTAAATGCTGCTTAACCAATTGAATCATTTTCTCCCTTCTTTGCATGCTTCTGTCCACACTGTCTACTGTTGTTTCTCCAGGCATATAAGGTAGATGAATAGGAGGAGGTTGGTTATACACAACCTCATAAGGAGTCATTTTAATGGCAGTATGATATGTAGTATTGTACCACCATTCTGCCAATGCTAACCAGATGGACCATTCTTTAGGTTTATCACTGCACATACATCTGAGATAAGACTCAATGCATCTATTAACTACCTCCGTTTGTCCATCCGTTTGAGGATGATAGGCAGAAGATAATCTGATTTCTGTGCCTTGAATTAAGAACAATGCTTGCCAAAATTGACTCAAAAAGACACTATCTCTATCACTAACTATGCTATTGGGCCACCCATGTAATCTGAATATTTGATCCAAATAGACTTGTGCTACCTCAACTGCAGTAAATGGATGAGATAAAGCCATAAAATGAGCATATTTGCTCAGTCTATCCACCACTACAAATATGACTTCTTTCCCTTGAGATTTTGGCAGACCTGTTATGAAATCCATAGAAATGTCCTTCCATACTTCCCCAGGAATAGGAAGTGGTTGGAGCAGACCTGGATATGATGAAGAATCATATTTATTAGCTTGACAGATTGTACAATGTCTAATGAAGTGATTAACATCTCTGTGTAGTCCCTTCCATGTAAATAATCTCTTCACTCTCTGTGTTGTGGCATCTCTTCCAGAGTGACCTCCCTCTGGCGAGCTATGCATCCATTCTAATATGAGTTTCTTCACCTCTTCATCTGGCCCAATCAATATTTTCCCTTTCTTTGTAATGAATCCTTGCTGCCATTGATAATGAGGTATATCAACATTCCCTTGCTGTAACTTGTGTTCTAACTCACTTAGGAATACATCCTTAGTATAGCTGTCCTTTATCAATTTAACCAAGTCAGATTTTATTTCAGTTAATGCCATACACAAAATCTCACTTCCTTCTTTTCTGGATAAGGCATCTGCAGCTACATTTTCTTTTCCTGCCTTGTATTCGATCTCATATGTAAATCCCATCAATTTGGATAACCAGAAATGTTGAAAAGGGGTGGATACCTTCTGTTGTAACAACCATTTTAAACTTTTCTGATCAGTTTTTATTATAAAACTCTGCCCAGTGAGGTATTGCTCCCATTTCTGAACTGCAAAAACTATGGCCAGTAGTTCCTTTTCATAAGTGGATAGCTTTTGCCATTTAGTACTCAAACTCCTACTTATAAATGCTAATGGATGCCCCTCTTGCATAAGCACTGCTCCTATACCTACATTAGAAGCATCTGTTTCAATGACAAACCTTTTTTGAAAGTTTGGTAATGAAAGAACCGGGGCTGAACATAATGCTTTTTTAAGTTCTTCAAAAGCAATTGCAGCTAATGTATTCCATTTGAAGCCTTCTTTCTTCATCAATTGATTGAGAGGTTGACTGATTGTAGCATAGTTTCTTACAAATTTCCTGTAGTAACCAGCTAGGCCCAAGAAACTTCTCAACTCTTTCAAGTTTTTTGGAATAGGCCATTCTTTAACAGCTTGTACCTTTCTGTCATCTGTTTGCACCCCTTCCCCAGATATGAAATGACCCAAATACTCAATTTTGTCAATAGCAAAAGCACATTTAGTCCTTTTTGCAAACAATTTGTTCTCCTTCATAAGCTCAAAAACATTCTTCAAATGTTTCACATGAGTTTCTATATCTGGGCTGTAGACTAAAATGTCATCAAAGAAGACTAAAACACATTTTCTTAGCAAAGGTTTGAAAATGTGGTTCATCCATGCTTGAAAAGAGGCTGGGGCATTGGTAAGCCCAAAGGGCATAACCAAAAACTCGTAGTGGCCCTCATGTGTTTTAAAGGCAGTCTTAAACACATCCTCATCATTCATCCTTAATTGATGGTAGCCTGCCCTTAAATCCAATTTGGAGAAGATTTTAGATCCAGCCAATTCATCAATCAACTCATCTACTACTGGAATAGGAAATTTATTCTTAACTGTCCTCTTATTAAGTTCTCTGTAATCAATGCATAGCCTCCAAGATCCATCCTTCTTGCCGATTAAAACTGCAGGGGATGCAAATGGGCTGGTACTATTTTGTATTATTCCTTGCTGTAGCATTTCTTGTATTACCTTTTCAATGATATCCCTCTGTTTAAGAGAGTATCTATAAGGTCTTACATTGACAGGCTGTGTACCAGTTAGGAGAGGAATTTTATGATCATATATCCCTCTTTTAGGTGGCAATCCTTTCGGTTCTTCAAAAATTTCTCCAAACTGATCTAGTAATAGTTTTATTGGATCTAAACCTTCTGCCATATCAGTCTTATATTCCATAGAATAGAGGCTATCTTCAGGAATATTCTCAGAAATATGAGATATCTTTAGTAGGTACCTTTGAGATGCATTCTCAAGCATATGAATTGAAGGCTTTTGCTGAGTGACTTTCAGTGTGGGTTTCAATCCCCTCAGGACATGTTTCTTCCCTTGGAATGAGAATTCCATCTGTAATTCTTTAAAATTCCATTTAACTGTTCCCAAGGTGCTCAACCACTGAATTCCCAGCACCATATCACAATTACCAAGAGGAATTATCAGGGCATCAGTTTTAAATTCAGTATTCTGCAGTCTCCAAGAAAACTCTTTACAAGCTAGTTGACAAGGCAAATGATTGCCATCTGCAATAGCTACAGCTTGTGGTGCAATTGAGTCTAATTTGCATCCCATTTTGATGGCCACATTCTGATCCAGAAAGTTGTGAGTACTTCCTGAGTCTATCAAAATGTGAATAGGTTTCTTCCCAGAAAATCCAGTAACTCTCATGGTTTGGAAACCTTGATTTCCCCATAAAGCATTTACTGAAATGTAAGGTTCTTCCAGAATGATCTCTTCATCACTATTTTCTGTTGAAATATTATCCTCCTCAGCATCTTCTCCTAATATTTCTACAGTAAAAATCTGTGTCTGTTTCATCTTACAATTGTGGTTTCTATCATAGAGCTCATCACAGAAGTAACATAATCCCTTCTTTTGCCTCTCAGCTCTTTCTGCAGCACTGATATATCTGCCCTGCTTCAAATTTGAAACTGAAGTTGAAGAAGAAGCCTTACTGAAATTAGGAGTGGGTAGCAAAGGCTTGGTGAACTGTCTGGTATTATTCTGAGAGCCCACATGTTTGATTGCAGATGAATTCTTGGATGCAGTCACCATTTCTTCCTGTAATCTAGCATATTCAATAGCAGTAGCCAGAGTATGTGGTTTGAAAGCCTTAACAAAAGGTTTAATGACAGGTTTCAACCCTCCAATAAAACTATCAAGATAATATTGATCAGGCAAGATATGATTCTTCTGTATCATCAAGCTTTTCAGATTTTCAAACTCATCAATATACGCATCTAATGTTCCAGATTGTTGCAGTTTATTAAACTCTTCTACTGCATTCATTCCTATTTCATCTTTAAATCTGGCACAAATATCAACCACAAAATCTTCCCACACCACATGATTCTTTCCCATCAGATAGCTATTGAACCATAATTCAGCCTTACCATTCAAGAACATGCTGGCAATATCAACTCGTTGCTCATACGAAATATTACAGAGTTTAAAGTATTTCAAGCATTTCTTCAACCAGATTCTAGGGTTATTACCATCAAATGTAGGAAATTCCAGTTTAGGGGAAAAACCGAAGGTGCGATGATGAATTTTATGATTAAACCTGGACTGTTCCCCAATTTGAGGAGAGTTCTCCTTGTCATCGTCAGAAAACTCACGGTCTACAGCTCCTTCAGGTTGTTTTTTCTGATTCTTCATCATCTGTAAAATTTCTCCCAAAACAAGAGATTGTTCATCGAACTTCTTTTCTAACAAATTCACTCGATCCCCCATGATGCTTTTCAACTGATGCAGCGTAACTTGCTTCTTCGCAGGTGCCAGGATTCTGAATAGGTGATTTACCGATCTCAGAATTCTGCAATGTCTCTGATACCAATGATATTGATCAGGATTCAGCTCATAAATGGAGAAGAGTAAATCGAGATCAATATGTGTACATAGTAAGATAGAGTAAGAGAGAAAGGAGATGGAAGGAACTTTATTCAAGAATCAATCAGAATGAATGTTTTTGCGTAGCAGACTTATTGATATAGCTATACATGTAACAAACTAACTAACTATTAGTTAACCGTACAATTGTGTTAACCGATAAGCTGGTTTATTTAGCTATACTATATCAGAGCTGCTGGTGATGACCCGGATAATGGTTCCCATGGGGAAGGTGAGAAAGCTGAAAAGTATATCCACAAAATCTTTGCTTGCTTCGGCAGCGACAACTCGGTTGATTTTGTCATCTACCAATAGCTTCAGGGATAATACTACGGGCTCTTGCTTGACCGCCGCCATGAACACAGCTCCCTTGTGCGTAAGATTTTTAATCGGAAAAAGAAAATGGAAATATGGAATTGATCAGGCGACTTCCGCGCTTATTTAAAGCGCGGATGGAAGAAGCTGAAAAGACCTTTAGTTTTAATTGCATCGGGTGATTGAAATTCATTGATTTGGTTATTATGAAATGAGCTCTTAGTTAAGAGGATTTGGATGATTTTGAAAGATTGATTATTTTTGGTTTTGACTTTTGAACGCACTGAGCCTTCTGAGGGCGGCAATTACGTGAACTAGGAGTGGGAAAAAATACAGAATAATATTATATCACACTTATCGTACCGAAAAATAACGCAAAATACCGAAATATTAGTATACCGTCATTTTCGGTACGGTATCCTACCGAACCTATCTATTTCGGTACGGTAACGGTAATTAAATGTTTTCAAATACCGCGGTATACCGGTATAAATACCGTACCGACTCCCTACTCAACAATTACTTTTAATTCTAATACAATTAAAATTGTATACATTACCATTTTGAAGCCCGAAATTAATACTTAAGTTGGTTACAAATACAAAAATACAAAAATAAAGGTCTAATTTCTCAAACCCATTATAAACTTATAGGTTTCCACTACTCTAACCTTAATGACTAAAGAGTAATGTTGTAACGCCCCTCTCAGGGTTAAAGGAAACGTTACACTAACTGACTACTTTTAAAAATAACTGCAAATAACGGCCGTCTATTTAAGAAAATAACCCTGATATATTCTCAAATATAATTAAAGTATAACTCTTGATAAAAACTCAATAAATAATAGTTATCACCAGCAAATGTGATAACCACCTGGATCCAGGAATTTACTGAACTTCAAATCCTTAAATAAAAAAATAAAGTAATATTTATCACTTTATTATAATACTGAAATCCTGAAAACAAAATAATATCTGGCTAGAAGCCGCCAAGGTCGTTCTCGTTAACTCATCTTGGCACGCGTTCCACTCTCTCATCATCTTCCTAGGCCTTGGCCTTACCCTTAGTATCTGTACATGCGAAGAAAGAAAAACTGATAAGCTTTACGCTTAGTAAGTCACTATGGCTCCACAAAAATATCTAGAAGTCTAGGCCAATTTATCAATAGATAAATTTAGGCTATAAACATGCACTGAACAAATAACTAACACATAACTTCTCAAACATATTCTGAGGGAGATCTCAAAACGAAAATATTTTCTAAAATAATTTCTCAAAAATTACTGGAGAGATCTCAAAATTTCTTTCTCAAACATATCTGTAAAACTTTCTGAAAGAGATCTCAAAACAACTTTCTGTAAAACTTTCTGAAAGAGATCTCATAAACTTTCTATAAACTCTTTGTGGCTAATTTTAACTGTGGGCCCGTGATATGTACTCAATGGCGCCAATCCAACAGCTCAGGGGAGCGACCCACTAAACATATCGGACTATCTAAAACTAAAACTGCTAATCTGAGGGATCTAGTTCCCGAGTACATATCACTTAATCTTTCACTTTAAGTATTAGTTCTTTTTATGGTGACATTTGACTAAAAAAAACATCATTAAATCTGGAAACTAAAGTACTAACAAATCTTTGACTATGCCAGATAATAAACATAACTTAATCTAGCAATAAAATAACTCATCACATAATTCACATAATAGCAAATAGTCTAAAATTATCTATTAAAAATCAACCAGACTTCCTTCTTGCATTTGGTTGAACAAACATGTACAGGTGGTAGTGAACTTACCTGATAGAAGCTGAACTCAAATTACTCAAATAACTGTGGCACCCTGATAACGTCTTCCAGTAAGCTCTTTTTTGAAATCTTTAATTAAATGTAATAAAATCATTATAAACCGGATGTATAGACTGTATTCATCTAAGGAAATCTTTGCGTACTGCCACACAGCCACTTAGAACATACAAAATTAGCTAGTTGATTTTCTTCTAACTGAAATCGGCCGCAACCACTAGTAAGATTTGGCTCAGAACATCTACTAAGAAAATTTAAAGCAGACCCAACTAAAATGGAAGAACAATTAAAATGTGGCTACTCTAGTGGAGGCCAAAAAAATAAATTCCAGCAGTGAACCTCTAAAACAGACTTTCGTAGTAGACTGAATTGCTGCTCATGTTTTGGATAAAACAAGGTAGATAGCTTAGCTGATTTAAAACAGTAAAATTTTGGATTCTGCCAATTTGAAACTAAAAAAAAACAGCAGTTTACCCCAAAAATTCAGAACAGAACTAATACACTTCGTCTGAAACCTAAAGTTGAAACCCTCACTAAAACCAAGGCATAGACAATTCTCCCAATTTCACCAAACAGACCTACGCACTAAATTCTGATAGAAAGCTTTAACCATTCATATAACACTAGCAATTAGGCTCCTGGGTTCTAGCCCACCTTGTAAAAATTTCAGCTATTATAAAACATCAAAACAACTTTTTAAAAAAAAATTTACTCCACTAGTAATACATAGCACTGCTTTGCCGAGAACTGATGGAAAACAATTTAAAGCCATGAGTGTAGAATCAATAATCTATGAAGTAAGGAATGATTAATTTACACATTCGAGATTATAGAAACCTTAAACAGACCAAAGAACTAACCAAATCTTATAGAAATTCATGTTTTTCAACAAGCCTAAACGAATAAATAGAAATAGAGAGAATGGAAATTGACTTACGTTTGAGATTTGATGAACTAGGAAAAGCTTTGATCACAATTTGAAAGTAATGAAAACTCTTTTGGGGAGAAAGACGGCTGCTGATCGAAGGTTAGACACGCAGGTCCTAGCCTTTGGCTTTTAATATCACGTTTGACTACTCATTAGGGATTTCAATCTTAAACATGTTTACTTGGGCTTAGTTAACTGAACCGGGCTTCTAATCATGTCTAAAAAATGTTTCTAAAACATTACGCTTTAAAACATTACTTATTTCTCCACTTAAAATTATTAGAGCTTACCGGTCAACGTTACCTGCCAGAAACACATAATCCAACAATAAATCACATTATTCATAAATTATTCTTATTTAACTGACTAAATAAAATAAAAGATTAAAGTAACTAGATTGCTAAAATCGGGGTGTTACAACCCCTCCCACCTTGTAAAAGTTTCGTCCTCGAAACTTAGAATAACTTGGGAAGGCATAGCCTCATATTATTTATGTTCATACTTCTCACATATGGCTTTAGCACAACTATAATAGTTACAGTTTTTATAAGTTTACTTCTTTATTTCTAGACCATGCAAATTATAAAAATGCAAACTGACTTTTCTTCTTATTACCAGACTGGTCCTACTACTAATGTTGGGGAGAGATGCTACTACTTCACATAATGACCCACACAATGATCTCAACAACTCCTTGATAAATAACCTTAGTAGGTAAACTTTATAAATGAATCAGTTCGCACAGTTTGTTGATTAATATGAGGAAGAACGACCATACTAAATTAAATAGCACCTTTATCAACAAAATGTTACCCCACATGCCATTAACATGATGCTTAGATTTATGATCGCACTCTATGAAGGTTGTGCTTACCTAAGTTGAACTTGTCTCTTAACCAAGGAATAAGAGTCTATCTGAAGTTCATCCTTGATTTGTGAAATTCTCTCCAAGTAGAATGTCTAAACAATTTGATTCACTGGCAGTTTTTTTTTTTTTTTCCCCACAGTTTCATCCTCACAATATGATAAGTTGTATGGAAGGATGGAATTTTCTCTTTCACCATTTAAAACTTTTACTTTTTCATCAGGAAAAGAAATAAAATTAAAACCATTTTAACACTTCTATCCCGCAGATTGCTTCATTATTTTGTGCTAACCCTACAACTCAAAAAAAAAAATCACCAGCTCACAACATAGCATGTACTAATTGCTTTGCCTTGTCTGCTTATTAAACTGAAAAGGAAAGACAATACTAAATTTTTACCTTGTCATGAAAACTTACCCCACATACTACTAAAATGAAATTCAAAATCACCTTCTACTAGTATTCTTAGTGGTATGCTTACATAAGTCAAACTTGTTTTTTTTTTTTTATAAAATAGAAATAAGAATAGAACTCTTTCAAAAATTGATCCTTCATTGCTGAAATTCTGGCATTACAATATCTGAAAATGTTTTCTTCTCTGTGAGTTTTAAGAGTTTCCTCTTCACAATTTGTTACGTTGTGGGGGGAGCTGGAGTTTCCTTATTCGCCATTTTATCAATTCTACCCAACAGATTGTTTTACTTATGCCATACACCCTTTATGTATTATACCAACTTACTAGCTATCTCAGAAACTGTACATGGTAGCAATGTTATGATTTATGAGACTCATATGTAAGCCTAAAACTTTTAAAAAAAATTCTTAATGACACTAACATAGTGTTATATATTTACTGTTGGATCCTTAAGACATCTTCTTCTTTTATGCGTGATAAAGTACTCAAGTATAGCGCGTGTTTTATACTCTCAAGAAAACTCATTCTCTTAATATGTTACATTTTTTACTGTCTATTGTCAAGGTGGTTCTCTACACGAAAAAATTTCCTAAAGCACAAAGGGAATCTTCATTTCTTTTAATAATCTGCTGTAATTTGACTTACCTATTATATCAAAAAGAATCTTTTTAAAGTCTATAGTAGATTAAACTACTAAACTTTTTTCTTTCTTTTTGACCACACAAGCATCCCACAATTATCTTTTCATCAAAAGAAAAACTTTCTTATGGTTCTATACCTCTGGAACCCAAAATTATAACTTCATTGATTAATATCCCTGAGTAGTCAGGAAAGTTGAATCAAATTGTAAATTAGATTCTTCATTTTATCTTAGAATTTCAGTTTTGAAACGAACAAATATTTCTAATTTTTTTTTTGTAATGAGGTGAGTATTCCATCTATCGTATCCAATCTTTGAACATAATTTACTAATTGAAACTAATAGCCTCAATATCTAGAGGGAAAAAAAATCTTCTTGAGCTCCCTCTAAAAAAGAGGTATGCGGATTAACATTAAAATGTCAACATTAAAAAGGACTGTTTGCTTACTTTCAAATTTTCATGTTTCTAAAAAAAACAAGACATCATAAATGTTCTGTTTTACAAAAATTGACATTATCAAACACATAACCGTCTGACACAAAATACTTGACAATTTTTTTTTTTTTGAATTAACTTGAAAAAATACTTGACAACAGATATTCTTTTGTTTTCAATAATTACTTTGTAATTTTATCTATTTGCTTTCTTAATTAGTTGTAGGATGATTCTGAAAATTGCTATGGATTTTTTTTTTAACCCTTCATCCCTTCACTAATAAAAAAATGTGATATATTAAAATAAGTAGTCTACACGACCCAAAAATAATAATATTTTAATCGTAAACTTCCCTTGGGCCGTTCATTATCGAAAGTTACTTCCTCGCTAATATTCCACAGTATTGTTCCTTCTAACTTTAATCTTCTAACTATATAACTTAGGAAGTATCGTTCGTTCATAGTGGTAAAGTTTATATAGCCTTCAAAAATAAGGGAGCAAAGCAGTAAGTAAGACATAATTTCATAGAAACTGACAAACGATTATCCGCTAAATCATCTGGTAATAATTTGTATGGGATCATATCTAAGATTAACTTATACTAAACATTTTTTTTTTTTCGCAATGAAAATTCTTACTCAAAATCCATTTTTTTTTTCACAACCTCGTTATGTTTTCTCTATTTAAATTTCAAATAGAAAAAATAAACTGATCAAGCAATCTACACTGATATCTTTCAAAAGAAAATCTAACACCATAGCTAGGTCCTTCTTACTGGTTTCGTATATTCTTGACTTTGACTGACTCTAATTTACTCCATAAAAGAATCACATTATATAATTTATAATTTACTCAACTGTTGGGGTTCAAGCCCTTGAGTTGCTGATGACTCATAACAAAAGAATTGTTTGAGGTGTCAAAACTCTTTATACTCTTTTTCTCACCAATGCTTCTATAACTCAAAGAGCATATCAGCTACTAGCTCAAGCTCATTGGGATACTGTCTACAATTACTTGTACATAATGGCTATAAGGGAGCTTGAATGTACCATATTCTTTATTCTATTGAATTTTTCATACTCTAGATCATACTGTATGGAAACACACTTCACAAATACCCATATCATAGTGTGCAGCAGGTTCTAAGACTCGTGATTTACCAGAAACTAGTTTAATCTAATCCTTCCACTCATATCTTATAATCTAACTTTTAAGAATCTAATAATACTAAAAACTTTTGAATCACGTATAAAGACTTTAATGGCAGATCTTTCTAAAGGAATTTAAGTAGTGAGACTCAATATCTTTTTGGTAACCAAATGGAAAAAAAAATGAGGAAGACCTTTGGAAAAATAATGTACAACACTGTTTAAATCTCAGTGCCAAAAGCAAAGAATACTCTGAAGATTTCTTTGAGACGTTTTAAAAATCTAAATTTCTTCTTAAACATACTTTTGAGGAAATAGCTAAATACTATACTAATATATCACTTCAAAAAAAATTTACTTATTTGAATTTTGGTAAATAATCACTGCCATGTGATTAATCATTAATCACTAAACGCATTAAATGATTAATCAACACACTTTAAAACTTATTTTGAAATAAGCATTTACAACGTAAAGAAATGTATAATCTGACCATTGATCATTTTAAAGCAGTGTCCGATCACCGGTATCTCCTATTGGAATCATCAAATTGATGAGGGGCCCTCTCAGCAACTCAAGATTCCAAACTTGAGATACCAATGCTCAACACTCTAGAAAATCATGGAGCTTCTGAAACGGTTGATAAAAAAATTTAACTCCACTACTTAAGAACTTTCGAAATCCAAGGTGAAGCTCCAACATTTTACACATACAAAATAAGCTATAACTTATAATTCTTTTTAATTTTATTTTTCTTACAAAATAAAGTAAGTAATGTAAATAACAAGGGTTTCAAAAAAAAAAATAATTAAATAAATAAATGCATAAAAATACATAACAAACTGATTTGTATGCTTATGAAAATTCTTCATCTCATGTAAATTCACTTGCATGTGATGCTTTAGAAAATATCAGACAAATTCATTATTATTCTTCTAAAAAATAACTAACAAGACTCATTATTATTCTTTTAGAAAAATATCAGACTAACTCATTATTATTCTCCAAAAATAACTAACCCATGACATTTTGTTTTTAAACTCCTATTTTAATCATGAGTAACCTCTATGATGAGAAATACTTGCTATGGAAGACCAACAAGGCTAAAATGGAAGGCTGTGACTACGTAATTACGAGAGGTGTAAGACTAGAACGATGGTGTCTTTAGATAACGACCCTAAGTACTTACTTAATGAAATAGAAGACCTAACTCAAGAAATAGGCACTCGAATAAAATTTAATCTGAATAACTCGTAATAACACAAAAGTTTTACGAGTTAAGTACATATTACTCTTACTCTTACAATGTGATAACCACCTGGATCCAGGAATTTACTGAACTTCAAATCCTTAAATAAAAAAATAAAGTAATATTTATCACTTTATTATAATACTGAAATCCTGAAAACAAAATAATATCTGGCTAGAAGCCGCCAAGGTCGTTCTCGTTAACTCATCTTGGCACGCGTTCCACTCTCTCATCATCTTCCTAGGCCTTGGCCTTACCCTTAGTATCTGTACATGCGAAGAAAGAAAAACTGATAAGCTTTACGCTTAGTAAGTCACTATGGCTCCACAAAAATATCTAGAAGTCTAGGCCAATTTATCAATAGATAAATTTAGGCTATAAACATGCACTGAACAAATAACTAACACATAACTTCTCAAACATATTCTGAGGGAGATCTCAAAACGAAAATATTTTCTAAAATAATTTCTCAAAAATTACTGGAGAGATCTCAAAATTTCTTTCTCAAACATATCTGTAAAACTTTCTGAAAGAGATCTCAAAACAACTTTCTGTAAAACTTTCTGAAAGAGATCTCATAAACTTTCTATAAACTCTTTGTGGCTAATTTTAACTGTGGGCCCGTGATATGTACTCAATGGCGCCAATCCAACAGCTCAGGGGAGCGACCCACTAAACATATCGGACTATCTAAAACTAAAACTGCTAATCTGAGGGATCTAGTTCCCGAGTACATATCACTTAATCTTTCACTTTAAGTATTAGTTCTTTTTATGGTGACATTTGACTAAAAAAAACATCATTAAATCTGGAAACTAAAGTACTAACAAATCTTTGACTATGCCAGATAATAAACATAACTTAATCTAGCAATAAAATAACTCATCACATAATTCACATAATAGCAAATAGTCTAAAATTATCTATTAAAAATCAACCAGACTTCCTTCTTGCATTTGGTTGAACAAACATGTACAGGTGGTAGTGAACTTACCTGATAGAAGCTGAACTCAAATTACTCAAATAACTGTGGCACCCTGATAACGTCTTCCAGTAAGCTCTTTTTTGAAATCTTTAATTAAATGTAATAAAATCATTATAAACCGGATGTATAGACTGTATTCATCTAAGGAAATCTTTGCGTACTGCCACACAGCCACTTAGAACATACAAAATTAGCTAGTTGATTTTCTTCTAACTGAAATCGGCCGCAACCACTAGTAAGATTTGGCTCAGAACATCTACTAAGAAAATTTAAAGCAGACCCAACTAAAATGGAAGAACAATTAAAATGTGGCTACTCTAGTGGAGGCCAAAAAAATAAATTCCAGCAGTGAACCTCTAAAACAGACTTTCGTAGTAGACTGAATTGCTGCTCATGTTTTGGATAAAACAAGGTAGATAGCTTAGCTGATTTAAAACAGTAAAATTTTGGATTCTGCCAATTTGAAACTAAAAAAAAACAGCAGTTTACCCCAAAAATTCAGAACAGAACTAATACACTTCGTCTGAAACCTAAAGTTGAAACCCTCACTAAAACCAAGGCATAGACAATTCTCCCAATTTCACCAAACAGACCTACGCACTAAATTCTGATAGAAAGCTTTAACCATTCATATAACACTAGCAATTAGGCTCCTGGGTTCTAGCCCACCTTGTAAAAATTTCAGCTATTATAAAACATCAAAACAACTTTTTAAAAAAAAATTTACTCCACTAGTAATACATAGCACTGCTTTGCCGAGAACTGATGGAAAACAATTTAAAGCCATGAGTGTAGAATCAATAATCTATGAAGTAAGGAATGATTAATTTACACATTCGAGATTATAGAAACCTTAAACAGACCAAAGAACTAACCAAATCTTATAGAAATTCATGTTTTTCAACAAGCCTAAACGAATAAATAGAAATAGAGAGAATGGAAATTGACTTACGTTTGAGATTTGATGAACTAGGAAAAGCTTTGATCACAATTTGAAAGTAATGAAAACTCTTTTGGGGAGAAAGACGGCTGCTGATCGAAGGTTAGACACGCAGGTCCTAGCCTTTGGCTTTTAATATCACGTTTGACTACTCATTAGGGATTTCAATCTTAAACATGTTTACTTGGGCTTAGTTAACTGAACCGGGCTTCTAATCATGTCTAAAAAATGTTTCTAAAACATTACGCTTTAAAACATTACTTATTTCTCCACTTAAAATTATTAGAGCTTACCGGTCAACGTTACCTGCCAGAAACACATAATCCAACAATAAATCACATTATTCATAAATTATTCTTATTTAACTGACTAAATAAAATAAAAGATTAAAGTAACTAGATTGCTAAAATCGGGGTGTTACAAATGTACAAATGTCAAGAAACAAGTCCATCTTGTTCCAAGAGTTTGCAAGTCGTGAAGGTTGGAGCGCTAAGTAGTTGACGAGTGAAGAGATACACTTATCTGACAAGTGTATCTACATAGGGATTCCACGAGTCGAGACACGCAACTTTTTCTGAAAGTCTTATTCAATTTTTAAAAAAATTATAAAAATGACTAAATACACAATATCATATTAGGAATAAATGATTTTATATCCATGTTGTGTGAATAGCTTTATTTATTTTTGTTAGACATCACTATTGATTTAATTATATCTCTATTATTCAAGTTATTTTAGGAGAATATGTTACTTTTTAATATGTGACATGTTGAACTGCTTAAATATACTAATAATAATTACTGTTCAATTATAGAATTTGACATCAATAAATTATTAATTGTATTGAGTAACATTTCAATAATAGATTTAATATGTCGCTAGTAATAACGATTTAGTATATTTCGTTAGTCTATGATAATTTTTGTATTGGGAGATATGCACGGTAATTTACCGATACCGTACCGTTACCGAACCGAAACTTCGGTATACCGAAATGCGGTATACCGAAACTTCGGTAAGGTAAAGGTATGCAAATTTTGCATACCGAAAGTTTTGGTACAGCAAAGGTATGAGAAAAAATATAAGATATACCGTACCAAACCCCTATTTACATCCCCATCAACGGCTCTAAGGGCATGTTTGGATTAGGGATGTCAAAAAAACCCGACCCGCGGTGACCCGCCCTGGCCCGAGACATTTGGGACGGGTCCGCCCCGCCCCGTCTTCCAAATGGGGTGGGTCCGCCCCGCCCGCCTATACAATGGGGCGGGTCCGGGTATTAGTATTGACCCGTGCCGCCCCGACCCGCCCTGCCCCAACCCGCTCAATACATAAGCATACATACTTTTTTCTTAAATTATACTACAAATATACTTCAACATACATATGTGTGTATACAGTAAATCATAAATTCTTTGATCTTATAATATATTAATACATATATTAGAATGACATGAACGACGGATTATCATCCGATCAATGTCTTCTTTATATATAACATTTTAATACATATGTTCAATTATTAGTATAATTAAATAGATTAACTATTCAAGTCTGAGTAATTTTTCCTTGATTTTTGAAATTTTTAGGGTATCATGAATTTGATTTAATTAATATATTAGTTTTTAACTATTATTTAGAGATAAACTTTATGTGGATTCAATTGGTAACAACTTCCCACAAATAAAAATACATACTAGCTAATTAGGTTACGGCGGGGCACGGCAGACCCGCCCCACATGGGGCGGGGCGGGTCTGGGTCTTGCAGTACCCGCCCCGACCCATTGTCATGCCTAGTTTGGATGGAGTGTTTGGAAGTGTTAGTAATGAAAGTGTTAGTAAGTGTTAGTAAGGACCCGGAAGAGAAGGGAAGTGTAAGTGTTAGACATAATTTTACCTTGTTTGGGAGAGTCAAATGAATGAAGTGTTAATAATGGAAGTATTAATAATTTTACCTTAGAGCAGAACAAACGAGTAAGGAGAAGAGACGAAAAAGGAAGACCATTAGACCCTCGGCAAAGATATTCAAAGTGAGATGTCGAAGCATTTTATGTTTTTAGGGTAAATGAGAAGATAATAATTGTCTAACACCTCAAAACACTCCAAATCGGGGTGTTAAAAAAGTGGGAAGGTTATTAACACTTTCTAACCGTTACTAACACTTCTTAACACCTCTTAATTTTTCTCCCAAACAGGTGTTAGTATCAACACTTACTAACACTTCCATTATTAACACTCTCCAACACCCAATCCAAACAGGTCCTAACTAATGGCTTAGGCTGCTTCTTGCAGAAGCAAGAAGGACTTATCAAAATCTCAGACTATTTATATGAATGAAGCTTTGTAAAGTTCAGTTCACTGTAATTTTTTTTTGTAAAACCATAGGCGCATCTGCGCTTATCTTTCATTCACAATCAATTGAGGCTGAGAAACCCCAACAAATCATACAAAATGTGTAGCGATAAAGTAGGATCATCAATACATATAGAGTAAACATCAAAAGGTAAACTATGACTTATGCCAACCAAGAAATTGGCAACCTAGTTGCCGTCCCGATATATTTGCTCAAGTTTGATCATCCACTCCCGATCCAAAATCTCACGAAAACTGGCGACCTCAGAAGAGTGCTGGTGTATGAGCTCTCTAACACTCAATAGTAGTTCACTGTACGTAATTTTATTGATTTATCAACAGGGTATATATCACATTCTGTAGTTTGACATCACAACATTACATTAAATCAAACTCAAGTGAGACTATCGGTTTAAATTGTCAACACTTAAAACTAGAGTACATCTCTTTCATTGCTTATTTGCACAAGAATATCTACAACATTGAATATTACAAAGTTTAGCTACACAAAATGAAAGATTGATTATTGAGAAACAAAATTTGGTATGGTGCACACTTTTGTCACCCCTCGTTTGTACAAAATTATTTGTGATCTATAGACAAGTTATGTATCTCAATATAAATTGTCTATATACAGACACTTCTACCTATGTAGATAGACTAGGTGTGTCAAAAGTGTATATCAAACCTTTTTCATTTGGCTTCAGCTTAGAAATATTAGGAGCTGGTAACACTGGGAAAGAAAGAGTCATAGCATATGTTTTTAGCTATATTAGACTTTGCACATCATTTTCAAAATCATTCATGAGTACTCATCATCATCAAAAAAATTGGCACCAGCCCTGATCTGGAATATTATGAGCTGGTAACCTGGTAACACCAAGAATATAATGAAAGAACTAAAGTACGTAGTATATGTTTTGAATGATACTTCGTATAATTAGATTTTCCACATCATTTTCAAAATATACATTCACAGCACAACTTGTTTAAAACTCACTTGTGCATAGCACAACTTGTTTAAAACTCACTTGTGCATAGCACAACTTGTTTCGTAGTATATGTTTTGAATGATACTTCGTATAATTAGATTTTCCACATCATTTTCAAAATATACATTCACATCACAACTTGTTTAAAACTCACTTGTGCATAGCACAACTTGTTTAAAACTCACTTGTGCATAGCACAACTTGTTTCCACATTATTTTCAAAATCATTAACTCACTTGTGCATAGCACAACTTGTTTAAAACTATGTGAAAAAGATTCAAATAGACAATTTCGAATTGATCACTTGAACTCTTATACTTTAACAAAATATTACATAAGCACGTTTATTATGAAAACACAATTAATCCGATCATTGTGACCTGTTATAATGAATCATTTCAAAAAAATTAATTCTGAAGAGTTATAAATGGTAAATAATATAAAAATAAAATATAAAAAACGTAATAAATTGTCAAAGTCAACATGTAATTTAAAACAATTGAATAAAGAACTCAAAAATAAATAAAAAACTAAATGAAAATGTAAAAATTGAATTAATATGTAATTTAAAAATATGTAGAATGTAGAAATATTTCAAAAAATGAAAAATAAATTTCTTGAATTTTTTTATTCTTTTAGATTTTTTTCATTATTTTAATTTAAATAACTTTGGTAGTTTTTTTTTTAAAGAAACTACAAGCCAAAAATCGGCTAAATGGTTGAACTGGTCAATTTTTAGAAGTACCTATATAATACTGTGGTCTAAGCTACCTCCGTCTCATTTTATGTGTCTCATTTGAGTTTGGCATAACAACCCTAAGATCACCGGAAACCCAAATTTTCTGGAAATTTCGGTGGGGAAGAAGAAGTAATGAACTATTAATAAAGTGGTTGAAAATGTAAAAGTTGTTGTTGCAATTTTACTATAATAAAGTGAAATGTTGTGGAACACATATTTCTTTTTAAAAAGGGAAATGCGACACTTATTTTGGGACAATCCAAAAAGGAAAGTAAACAGGAAAAATGGGATGAAGTAAGTACTTTTTAGGTGAAATTCAAAAGAATAATCCCTACTCTTAGGGATTCTATAATAATAAAAAAAACTAAAAGTGTTCACAAAAATAACCAAATTAGCAATAGTGTCCACGAAAATAAATTAGGGTGAATTTATATTTAATGTCTATTTAACACTCTCTATCCGTACCTTCACTTTACTCTTGACCACTCTTTGTCTCGGATAATACTTCTATTTTTCAATCTACAAAGAACCACATATTACGGAAATGGTGTTACGATTAAATGGGTTTTATTTTGAATTCACCTCGAGAAGAAGAACGGGACAAGAAAAAGTGGAAGTGAGGATTGAGAGTATTATTAAATGGGTATTAGTTTGAACTCGCCTCAATTTATTCTCTTGAATACCATTGATACTTCAAATTATATTTATGAACACTCGTATGATTTATTATTGTAAATTAAAGTACCTGAAAGTATTGTTGTGAAGTTCGCCTACTTTTTATGTATACGTGCTTAAACGATGGATTTAAAGTAGTAGAATGACCTATTCGAAGATTTTCCCAAAATTATATTTTATTGTGAAGATATGTTGTGTAATTTGGTTTGAAGCATATATGAACAATGTAGTTTAATTTGTATGTTGATACAATTCTTATACTACACTAATAGAGGTAAAACTATTTTAAAACGGTAAAAATAGAAATAGATGTTTACAATTCTCTTTATATGAGTTTTTTGTGATTGGGCAAGAATATCCCTATAGGGTTTTAGGGTTGCCACTGTCACTGTGATGCCGCCGCCTGTCACCGTAGCACCGCCATTGCAACAAACAAGTCTTATGTCGTTGATGAGTGACACCCCATGTATGAATTATAAGTTTTTAAATATCAATTCACCAATCCAGGTAAATCTCAATGCACTTATGCACACACAGACTTGGAGATTAAACGGCAAGTATGAACCCACATTTTATGAGAGCATATCATGTAATCAGTGGAGGACCAGGACCTAGGGGGCGTGGTTGCAAACACTCATGCTTCCGGTCCAGAAAAACACTACTAGTACTAGAGTCATAGAGTAGTGCCCCTTCTTCTAATGCAGTTCAACATCATCAGTTTTAGCGAGTGTTTAAATTTGAATGTTGTAAAAACTGTTGGAAACACTACTATGTTGAAGAAGAAAAATTACATTTAAAATTCATTTCCAATGTGATACTCCGTATCATTATGATTTGGTATAATGTCAAAAGTGAAGAACTTTATTTCTAGTATGGATATTAGAATAAGCATCATACTATACTATAGGGGTGTTTAGATCTGATTCTCAAAACTTATTCTGCTCCTTCAGGGAACAGAAGCAGAAGCTGAAGTGTTTGAGTGAAATTCCAGAAGCACTTTTGGTGCTCTAATTTACTCTCATAATCAGTTTTTTTAGAAGCTGGGCGGGTACCGGCTTCTGAAAAACTGATTCTGATTTTGCTTCTGCTTAAAAAAAGCAAAAGCAGAATCAGTTCCAAACACCCTCATAATTGCATTATAATGAGAATCTTGTTGCTATTTTTACACTATTTTATATATTCTAAAGGAAGTCCATGTATTAATTTATGGTGCTTTGTTGATGATAAAACTCTCCGTAATGCTTTCTTAATAAATGTACTCGGAACCAAATCCTTGTGTCTAAGAACATGTTTGGCAGACATAAGTCTCCTTTCTAACTTTTGTACTGTTTAAAAAGTCTCTAAAAGCTTCTTATTGTATGTTTGGCATTACAATCTTTAAGAGCTTTTAAAAAATTAAAAGATCTTTTTTGAGATGCTACATGGGGTAGCATCTGAGAAAAGCCCGTGACTTTTAGTATTAATTCGTCCTAACAGCTTGTATACCAAACAGAACTAAATCAAACAGTCAGCTTTTTACCAAACAGCTACCACATTTTCCTTATAAGATCTTTTCAGTTACTAAAAAGATTACAAAAGTATCTTTTCAGCTAGTTGTACCAAACATACCCAAAGTTGTCTCGCACCTTTTCCCAACGAAAAGGTCAGAATGCATCGAACTGTTAAAGGATTTTTGTCATTTAAGAATGTAATTATTTCTAAAAATAATGAAAAGACAAAATGAAAGAAATAAAACGAACTTTTATAGAGGGTTATAGAGGACACCAAACAAAGCTGGGTCGCAATGTACAAAAAAGATAGAGAGAAAAACAATACTTGAATAACATTCTTCAGATAATGGAAATAATGGATAAACATAACTGAACTTCCAATGCTTCCATTCGAATACTTGAAGCTCTCCCTGGGATTTTCAAACGGACATATCTTGTTGCTGGTTCTAGGGCTTCTGCTTCTGCAAGAAGGGGCCTAAGCCAATTGTAAGGGCAGATGATGGTGATGTCAGAGCAGCCTTCAGTAAGCTCATTGCCTGTTAGCACGGATCAAGAATATGAATATTTGTGAATGAGTAAAACATGGATCATGTGCTCAAATGATTGGAATGTTGTATAATTAAAAACATGACTTATTGGATGCTAAGAGCCCAAGAAATGTATTAATGTAGCCAGGTAGGTGGAATGGATATGAAGGTCAAACCGTGCTTAATTACTTACTTCCTTCATACCGATAGTGACCCATTGCACCTCTGTCTGATTGAAAGAAATTTCCAATTTGTTTAGTAAGAGGTAACTGGAAGAAACAGAAAGAGGCTTCACTTCAAAATCATCAGAAACAAAGAACATTGATGGTTCCACGGCAAAACTATCGCTGCCCTTTGGACTTAGCAGTTTCGTATCTAAAGGTTCAGTACGGAGAGATTTGATAGGCTGCTTCTTGCAGTTATGATCTTGCGCAACACAAAGGTCAAGTAAGCCACTTTTATTTGAGGAACGGAACCACTTCTGATCTAACTCCACAATACTCGTGTACAGGTTATCCATGCATTTTATACCCGATTGTCCTTTAAGAATGCATACGGTTAATCCAATAGGAGTGGTCAGAAAGGTGCACAGGAAATCAAAGAACTCATTGGTTGCTTCACCAAACAATATCTGCTTTGTAGACTTGACACATGACACCTTAAGATTCAGAGTAGGACCATTCTGTTCAGTAGTCTCAAGCGGGACAACAGGTGATGATGAAATAGTCGCCCCGAGTTTAGATGGCTTCACTTGGGTTCCGACTGTTTCAAATGCAGGATCTTTTGTCAGAAAGACGTCGCTTAATGGAGACTCAGAAACCAGTGAGCGTGCAAGCAGAAGGATCAGCTGCATACAAAGAGAATTCAAAATTGTATTAGAGCAGCTCAATTAGCACACTTGACATTCCAATGGGAAGCTAGCTCAACTCACTGCCCTTGCCCTGTATGAGAGTTTCTAACATTATGAGAAGCTTTTTAACCATAGTTGTTACGACGGGGTTTTGCGGCGCGGCGCCTTTGGACTGCCATACCGCCATGGCGATATGGCGCCCGTCGTGGTAGAGTCGCGGCGATAAGTCGACATATACACTAATAATTCATAATATGTTTTACATACTAAAAAGCCTACATGTAACACTTATAGCCAACACTACTAAGGAAGTAAATCAAGTAATAAAATATGTAATCATATAAATAACATAATCCATAAGACCATAACCATAAGACAACACAGTAAATTTCAGCATAAATTGAAGACACCGAAAAAAATATGAAATATAAATTAAAAAAAACTACTGAAATTTATTCAATATTTGGGGAAAACTGAAATTTGTTTTTATAAAATTGAAACTTTTCTTTAAATAGTAACAGTAGTACAATACTAACTTTTCAAAAACTTTTTGACTTTCTGTAAAACATTAACAGTTCATCACATCAAATACAACATTAAATTCAAAGCATTCAACAAAATATTAAATACAATTTTTTAGAAATATTAAATACAAAGTTAAATATACAAAGTTAGATGATTTTAAACCCACGTACCCAACTGGAGTAATAACTAAACAAAATCGAATCACATAACACACTAAAGTTAAAAGTAAAAAAGTCCAAGTCTAGAAAAAAATTGAAGCAGTAAAACTGCGGACCAGGGAGATGGATTGAGCGCAGATGGATGCTGCGTTAGGAAAGTCGTCGAGCGCAGATGGATCGATCTGGTTTATTTTATTTGATGGGTTCAAAAAATTGGGTTTGGATTTGGGTTTGGGCCTGTTATAATAATTATGCCCTGCTTCCTGTTCAAATAATTCGACGCCTAGGCCGCTAGGTGTCTTTGGCGTTCTCCTGACGCCACAAGGACGTTACTTCGACGTCACAAGGTTTAAGGCGAGTCGACAACATATGGCGAGCCTCTCTTAGCGCCAGGACGATGTGGCGACGATAAGGCGACGCCATGGCGACGCTATGACAACTATGTTTTTAACATTATCCTAAATAGAAGAAACAAAATGTGACTCTGTATTTATTTCTCTAAATAGAAGTAATGACATACACAAGAATTTACAAATTGATGGAAGTTCAAAAAAAGTACTTCTGTTTAAGGAAACCCTTTTATTCAGATCCTATTCTTACAAATTTTTCATTACTATTTTATTAAACAACGATGAAAATAAGAATTATTGTCCATAAAGTTCAATACTTGCAATACAATGGAGGATATGCCGGCTTAACAATGTTGAGACAGATGCAACAATATTTTCATAACTTAGAAAAAAAGTTGAAGAATAAGATAGATAAAATTTTGGGAAAAGGGGCAAATAAGGCCACGTACTAACCAAAAAAGATCAAGGCCTTATTTAGGAGGCTCTGTCCGGCCGTCGCCATTTGGGGTGGTTCCCGGTGGAATTGTTTGTTGATTTGTTTTGAGCAACTTATTCATTAAGTCTAGTTTACTCATACCAAATTTCACCTAACATCTCAATAGAGAAGGCATTCAGATGAATTGTTGAAGATAACTGTGCAGTTAAAAACGCAGTTATCTTAAAAAAATCATTTGAGTAAACTAGACCTAATGAATAAGGTGCTAAAAAAATATTAACAAAAAATTCTACCGGAAACCACCACAAATGGCGACGGCCGGAGAGAGCCTCCTAAATAAGGCCTTATTTAAAATTTTTATAGTACTTGACCTTATTTGCTCCTTTTCTCTAAAATTTTGAATAGAATGTGCAAATTTTGTGTATCTCACAAATCATTCCTTTTTAGAATGAATCCAGGGCACCTATGTCTCAAAAAAATACTCCCTCCGTCCCCCTAAGTTTGGGACGGAGGGGTGTGGTGTGGTTTTTAAGAAAAAGTGGAATTGTGTGGTTGGTATTGAATTGATAAAGTGTAAATAAAGTAAGAATGAATTCTAATCACTCAAACGTTAACAAATATGGTATGTGACAAACTTAGTGGGTCGGACGAAAAAGGTAAAACGGGACAAACTTGGGGGAGGGAGTAAGGAATAGAAGTGGGGTACCTCAGCCTTGGAAACATTAACACACATCTCCCTGATTCTAGTGGCATCTTTAGAACCGGTGTCGGGCATAAGTTGAGCAACAATTTCCGCAGAGGCAGGCCTGACCTGTAGATCATCAGTGATTAAGAACTCTATTGCTCCCTTCAAAAAGGCTCCCTCTTTACTGGAGGCATTCCAATCAGCGGGCTTCTTTTCTTTGGGGCGGATGGTCTTCGCCCCACATTTGCATCTGAAGTTTTCGTAAATACTATGATATCCACCGCACCAGCAGCCGTAAGTGAAATCGGATCCAGAATCATCAATATTAATCTTCAACTTCCTGAAGTAATACGCTAGGGGATTCCTGGGATTAAGAAGCATGCTCTTGCAGTATTCTGTCTGCCAGTACTCAGTGCTTAGCTTTTGAACACCTTCGTATAACTTGTTCATACACCCTACTGCTACAGATGTGGGTTTCTCTTCTGCGGAGGTGCTGGTGATGAGTCGGATAATGGTTCCCATCGGAAAGGTGAAAAAACTGAAAAGTGTGTCCACAAAATCTCTGTTCGCTTCCGCGGCCACTACTCGATTGTTCTTCTCATCTATTAACAAATTCAGGGATAACACTACGGGCTCTGTCTTGACCGCCGCCATGAATACGGCACACTTACGCGTAAGATTCTTAATCGGGAAAACAAAATAGAATTTATCCGGCGACTTCCACACTTATTTAAAGCGCAAATGGAAGAAGAAGCTGAAAAGGCCTTTGGTTTCAATTGCATCGTGTGTGTGAAATTCTCATTGATTTGTAGTTATTACGACTGCCACTTGGGCCGAGCAAAACCCGATCCGACCCGAAAAACCCGATATTTTGTTCGGATATTATCCGAACCAAAGTGGATATCCGACCCGAAAAACCCGAAACCGAAAATCAGATTAGTATTGGGCCTAGACCGGGTGGCGGGTAGTAGGGGTGGGTTCGTAGAACCGAAAACCGAAAACCGAATCGAATCAAATCAAACCGCGACCAAATAAACCGAACCGATGAAAAACCGAAACCGAACATAAGAAACCGAACCGAACCGAACATGTTTGGTTTCGATTTCGGTTTTGACTCCTCAAAACCGAACCGAACCGAAAAAACCGAAATATTTAAAAATATAAAAAAATCATTTACTCCAAATGATTTTTTATATGGAGTATATGGCCGGTCATGTGGTCAACGCTCAAGACCGAAAGCGTAAGAGGCTTTTTACGAGTCCAGTACTCCATAATCTTTTAACCTAAAATGTAAGAGGCTTAGCTCTCGAAAAAGGAGCCGCCGTCGAAGACATGGTAGATCGATTCAAGATACAACAACAACAACATCCAAGCCTTAGGAGGTGTTTACTTCACTGCTAAAGTCACAGTTAGGTTAGTAAGACACGTGAAGTAAACACGCACGCTGCTTAAAAAGCTGTTTACTAACCGAAAGAGGTGCTTAAAGTGCCGCTTATTAAGCATACCACCCCCCATGTATTAATTAAGCGGCACTTTAAGCTTTTTCAGTTTCCGAATTTACCCCTTGCTCTTACCTTACCCCTGCCCCACCAAGACCCCAACCCCACCTACCCCACCCCTACCCCGACCCCACCCTACCCTTACCCACCCGACCCCACCCTACCTACCCCGACCCCACCCTACCCGACCCGACACCTACCCTACCCCTACCCCTACCCTACCTACCCGACCCCACCTTACCACTACCCCGACCCCACCCTAACCCCTACCTTACCTATCCGACCCCACCCTACACGTACCCCACCTCCCCGACCCCACCTTACCCCTACCCTGACCCAACCCACCCTACCTTACCTAACCGACCCCCACCCTACCCAACCCCACCCCTACCCTACCTACCCGACCCACCCTACCACTACCCGACCCCAGTCACCCCACCATACCCTTACCCCACCTACCCCACCCCGCCCTATACCTCGACCCCACCCCTTACCCCACCCTATACCTAGGGTGGTGGAGTCGGGGTGGGGCCAATGTGATAGAGGCGCTATGGGCAGGGTAGGTGCGGTGGGGTTGGGGTTAGGGGTCGGGGTAGGGTTGCGGCAGGGTGGGGTAGGGGTAGGGTGGGATCGGGTAGGTAGGGTAGTGGTAATCAGGGTAAGGAAGGGTAGGGTAGGGGCAGGGTTGGGGTAAGGTAGGGTAAGGTGAAGTCAGGGTGGGGTTGATGTGGTAAGGGCCACCTATGGGGGTAGGGGCCTATGGGGTCGGGGGTAGGGCCGCGGTAGGGTGGGGACGGGTTAGGGTGGGGCAAGTGTAGGGTGGGTAGGGGTAGGGTCGGGGTAGGTAGGGTAGGGGTAGGGGTGGGGTCGGGTAAGGTAGAGGGTGGGTGGGGTCGGGGTAAGGTAGGGTGGGTAAGGGGTTAGGGGGTATGGGTACACATATTATATTATATACTTGTGTTCATGAATGTTTGTGTGTATATATATGTATAGGGTTGGTTTGGACATTTTAATGTTAAACGGTGTTTTAAACCGTTTGAAGTAAACACGGTCTTACAACATTGTTTATGTTATGCGCCGCTTATTAACACGGGTCTTAATAAGCACCGTTTAATAACCGGTGAAGTAAACATGTCCTTAGTCTCAAATGAAATTGGGGTCGGCTAACATGAATCGATACATGATATCACCACCAAAAGAAAAAGAAAGAAAATGAAGATTAAAAAATAAGCTATTATAAAAAAAGATAATATAAAACGGAATGAATATACATAAAAATGATAAAATTTAAAGGGTAAAAATAATGTTTATATATATAAGGATAAAAGAATAAAAAACACAAAAAAAGGCGAGGGAAAATAATAATAATAATAATAATAATAATAATAATAATAATAATAATAATAATAATAATAATAATAATAATAATAATAATAATAATAATAATAATAATAATAATAATAATAATAATAATAATAATAATAATAATAATAATAATAATAATAATAATAATAATAATAATAATAATAATAATAATAATAATAATAATAATAATAATAATAATAATAATAATAATAATAATAATAATAATAATAATAATAATAATAATAATAATAATAATAATAATAATAATAATAATAATAATAATAATAATAATAATAATAATAATAATAATAATAATAATAATAATAATAGATCACTCCTCCACACGAATACCCGCCCTCCACTTTGCTCTCTCGATTCAAGATGTGAAGCAAAAATGAGCGGATCTCCCTTTGGGACTGCATTTTATTTTGATTTCAGTTGGGACTGCATTTTATTTTGCTGCACTATATCCAAGTTTACTACGCTTAACTTTTAAGTGTCATGCACTAATGTTTAGTGCACTTTATTTAAATTGTAAGGCAGGAATTGACTTTCTTCAGTACTTTGTGTTTTATTTTCCTGCACTTTGGTTATTTTGCACAATTGCACATCATTTCTTTTTTCAGAAAGCATGTGTCTTTTGGTTTAAACCCGAAATCGAACCGAACAAAACCGAACCGAATCAACCGTGGTTGGACAAAAAATATGAACAAACCGAACCGAACCGAACCGAAGTTTTTAGTTTGATTCTACATTTGGTTTTAGGTCAAAACCGAACCGCATAAACCGAACCCACCCCTAGCGGGTATGGTTTGTGAAATCCCAACCCGACCCGCCCGAATATCCGAAATATATGTTAGTGTGTACTTTGAATATTTAAATTAATACTTGTGTTCAATTATTTGTGTAATTATTTGTGCAATTTGTATTAAATTATTTGTGTAAATTGAATGTGTAGTGAACTAGTGTGTACAATTTTTGTTAAAGTGGCATTCCAACACTTTAACTATCCAATTATAATGTGTTTTGATATAACCAACATATCCGAAATATATTAAATTATGTAGTGTGTACTTTGAATATGTTAAATTAATACTTGTGTTCAATTATTTGTGTAATTATTTGTGCAATTTGTGTTAAATTATTTGTGTAATTTGGAGGTATAGTGCACTAGTGTGTACAATTTTTGTAAAAGTGACATTTAAACACTTTAATTATCCAATTATAATTTTTTGTAATATAACCGAAATATCCGAAACCCGACCCGATATCCGATAATATCCGACTTAAAAATATCCGAAATACCCGATTTAAAATATCAAAGGGTCGGGCCTAGTGTTTAAATTAAAAAACCCGAACGGGTTTAGGGTTCGCAAACCCGACCCGCCCGAACCCGACCCGTGCACACCACTGCCACATTCGCAATCAAAGTGGAATTAAAAAAACAATCCAGAGGTACACATTTTCATACACACACCTACACACTCATGTTTGTGAAGAGTATTTTTTTGTCTGTATACAGACACAACACATTTTCAAATATGTTATGTCTGTATACAGACAAAAAAATACTCTTCACAAACATGAGTGTGTAGGTGTGTGTATGAAAAATGTGTACCAATAGATTTTTTGTAAAAAAAATTAGTAGTGTAGGCGTGTAGCTGTTTATTCGGACACAGAATCGTCAAATTAGTAGTGTGTGCGTGCCTTTGTTTCCGGGGAAAAAGGGTTAAATAGGGTCTCCAACTTACATAGTCAAATAATGCTCTGTCGGCCATCGTCGTTTGGGGTGGTTCCCGATATATTTTTTTGGTGAATTTTTTTGAGCATTTTATTCACTAAATCTTGTTTACTCATACCAAATTTCAGCTAAAAGTGCAATCGGGAAGGCATTCAAATAAATTCTTGAAGATAATTGTGCAGTTATCTTCAAGAATTCATTTGAATGCCTTCCCGATTGAAGTTTTAGTTCAAATTTAGTATGAGTAAACTAGACTTAATGAGTAAGATGCTCAAAAAAATTCATCAAAACATTCCACCGAGAACCGCTCCAAATGGCGTCGGCCAGACAGAGTCTCCTACATAAGGCCTTATTTGACCTTTTATGTAAGTTTGAGGCCCTATATGACATTTTCCCCTTGTTTTAGGATATCGTAACATGTTGGTTGATGGTGCCGGGTATAGTAGATTGGATTGTCCCCGAACTGAATCCCATTTACAATTGTTGGAAAAATTATATACTACAAAGTACTAGTACTTCATACATAATTTGTGTTAAAGAGTCATTTTCGAGCATAATTTTTTGAGTGGGTGCACTACCAATGTGGCTCAAGCCGAAGTGGATTCGATCTTCCCTTGATAAAGAGTTCGATTCGATAATGGGTGAACGCTACAATTGATTTTCAAAGTTCACTCATTGAAAGAGGGTAATTGGAAAAAGAACGAGTGTCAAGTGAGGATTCTCTCACATATATTGAAAAACAAGGCATTTGCACCACCTTGTATATGAGATCTTCTTAAAGTTGTTAACATTGTAAAACAGAAAGGTTCTCTCCACGTGGAGGGGTGCAAACCAAATCCCGAAACGGAAAAGAAAAATCGCGATATCTGGGCCTCCTGCTAGATATATTGCATAATTTTGTTTAAAACTTGTATGAGCATTGTAGTCATGTATTTTGCATGTTAACACAAATTCCCATAATACTATGCAGAAATAAAAATATGTTAAAACCCTAAAAAAAAGGAGCAGTTAACAATTCTTTAAATATGAGTTTTTTAATTTGTTATTGGACAAGATTACAAGAATACCCCTATATAGACTCTTAAGTGTGCTACGGTCACTGTAATGCCGCCTCTGACCACCGGCCACCGGTAACAGGAGCTCTGCCGCCGCCACAAGCAAGTCTTTGAGAGGGC